AACCCTAAACCATAAGCTCCTAAACTCTAAATCCTCAATCCACATGGACCTCCAAGTATCGACTTCTGTTTTTACTCGACCTTTTGGCAGGTGAAACGGCGGCAGGTGCTCAGACAAATGGCCAGGCGCTAAGTTGTACGAGTAGCAATACTAAGGTTGAGGGTTTAGGATTTTGGNNCAGGGGTTAGGGTTTAGGGTGAGTGAAGGAAATCCAGCTCCGTGCAGGACCGCCCACTTCCCCCCACCCGCAGGCACGCAATTTTGAGTGTAAGGTGGCGCAACACCAGGAGCAATACTTACAAGAACTGTAGCTTCGTTTTGGCAAATGAAGTTCAGAGCGGAGGCTTGCTGTTTACGGGGTAGTATTGGGATAATGGAAGAGAAAATGGAAACTACTATTTAGGGTTTAGGGTTTAGGCTGAAGAGAGCTTTGCATCCTTCATGTTCTAAAATTGCCGGCAGACCCTGAGGTTATCTACCCTCTGCCCCTCTAATTAAGACACAAGGCCCACAGTTAGGGCTTAGGGTTTAGGGTAAGAAGAGCTGGATGACCCAACGCTAACGCTTGTTTATTGTTCACTTGCCAAGCTAAAACCTAATCGGGCAAACTTGGGTCGTTGTTGAACATAGTTTCTATCCTGTTTATGAAACCAGCACAGACAAGATCCAGTTCAGAAATAGCATCTATGTTTTTGGTCCTTTCCCAAATTATGAGAAACTAGAAGCCCCACGTACAGTGAGGTCCTCAACCACAAGAAGGTTTTCCCTGCGCCAGAGCCCCAGAGGGTTTAGGGTTTAGGGATTCTGGAGATGTATATTCAAGGTTAGGGATTTGGGGCTTAGGGTGCATTTGGTACTTTCCCAAAAGAGGGGAACCCCAATGTAGTCCGAAAATATTATTCTCCTTATTATTAGGGCCCCCAAAAGGATCCCTAATTTTGGGAAAACCCCATTTCAACTCCTTTGGCGCCCCCTTTTTTGAGAGTAACACACGGGTCATAGGATGCTGAGGTCTATACGGGGACCCCGAATCCATCATATGGCTATGAGCGACAAGTGCATTTACACCGATTATACACTGCTCCTGGCTGGACAGGCAGGAAGTATAGCCTTTGGGGTGAAGACTTTCGGGTTTTGAGTTCAGGGTGTCGGGTTTCGGGTTGAAGGTTTTGTCAACACGATCGGTCTCTCTTAGGCGTTCCGGTAGGCTACATTAGGCAATCCATGATATACATATATATATATATATATAAGGGTGCTTCATTTCGGGCTATACATTGTGAGCCTAGAGAATCGTTATGCGTCCAAGAAAGTTGTTACTGGAGCAAATATCTATATTCTTACGGCTACTTGGCTACTTCACCATTACCCTCTAAGACTTAAGTGTAAATGTGTGGTTTAGTGGTTGTATCCCTGCCCTACACCCTGAATCCTAAATCCAAAACCTTACATCGTACACCCTAAATCCTCAGGTCCTAAACCCTAAGCCCTAAACCCTAAACCCTACGCAGCACTGCTGTACGAGAGCACGGTGTTCATGCCCAGGAGGCTGGCAAAGGCCAAGAGGCACGGCGTGCGGGGCCTGGTTTGCCAAGGAAGGATAGTACATTATGGTACATTATTAGGGTTTAGGGTTTAGGGTTTAGGGTATAGTATAGTATAGTATATGATGGTACATCATAATTTGCCACACCAAGACAACCAAGGAAGTATGAGGGTTGGCTTTCTCCACATGATGCGCCATGTGGTCGCACATGAAGGTTTGGAGTTATGTGCGCGGATCATATTTTTTGAGAAGGTCAGGGGTTTCAATTTGATTTGATCTGACGGCCCTCTGCAGCCCCAAATCGTAGTTTCCATTGTATTTTCATTTAACCCAAAATAATCCCAATGTACTATAGTCGTGTCCATTTTCTTTTCCATTATCCCAATATAACCCCAATATACTATAGTCGCTTCCATTTTCTTTTCCATTACCCCAATATACCCCCAACCCAATGGTTATTTATACCCCCCTAGATAGCACAGACCCTGCAAGCAACTCCTGGGCGGGTTCCCTGTTAAGGAATGGTTCTTAAGGGGTCTGTTCTAGTGTAGACCCATGATTAATAAACCCCTCCTTTTAAGGGCCTTAATATTAGGATTCCGAATATAATCCCTGTTAAGGGGAGGGGGGTTATTAATCAGGGGTCTACATTATTTGAGAGATCTTCTACAATTCTACCGTACTTGAGGAGACAATCTTGTGTGCTGCCACGTGACTTATTGCATGCTTGCACCTGAGCTAGTCATGTACTACATCCCCAAAGGGTCCACGTAGCAATATATACTTGTTGGCCAAGAAATCCCAAACAAGTACTTTAGGGCATATAGCTGCATGGACCCTTTGGGATTACGCACCCTGGGATTGTGGCCACGGCTTACTAATGAGACTTGAAATTGGGCTCGGATATTAGCAGACTTGACATGATCTTTCAGATCAGGATGGGCGAAGCTAAGCCTGAACCCTAAGCCCTGAACGGTTTAGACAGCCATCTGAAGCTTTGTTGAGTACCATAGTCACCATGTCTGAGCCCAGTGCAAGAGCGCCGAAAATACTATCTCCAACCGCGTCTGCTGCATCCCCGTACGTGCAGCCCAGCACTGTAGATTCGCGTGAGCTATAGTCTAAACCCTAGTATCCCCCTTAATAACCTCTATAGACGTCCCCTATATAATCCCCCATATAACACCCTTGAAGGAACTTAGATTATGGTTCATGTGTAGCTACAAGAGCAGTGGTAAGTACTTCAATTTCTGACTTCGTTTTCTCTACACGCATGCCCATGCGTCTCCAGCGAGTATTTCATCATGAGGGAAAGTGGCGGCTAGGAAGTTCCACGAAAGAGATGGTTCCAAAATTCTTGTTTTATATGCCTAAGAACCAGCTGCTGAAGAATGATCTCTACCCAGGTTATATACAGGGAAGGTAGAGATCAGATATGTGGAATCTACCCATGTGCCGAAGTCGCGATCGATAAGCACCTTCATTCGTGTAAGATTCTAATTTTCCTCGGGATGAGCAGACATGGCACCCACGGTTGTCCGCTCACCTTCTAACATCAAGCACTTGAAATGGCCTTCCTTATGAGCATAGTCTATGTTCTGTGGTCATACTGCTGATGGATGAAATCCTGCATGGCCTGATATACCAAAACACCAGGGCTCATGGAAGCGGATTGTATCAAACTCAGTGTCGTGCAGTTTTCTCGTCAGCCATATCGTTAGCAAAGTTATTGCAGCATTTCCTTTCCCTGAGGGTCCAAGTCCCAAATCATTGGGCGCTAGGTCCCAAATGCCATGATTCGAATGGTGTTTGGTATCTAAAGCCCCAATACTTGGGCACTTGGACCCTTAGGATTCCTTGATCCATCCAGTCCAGCCGAAACGCTCTATTTCGGCACAGAGTGAACTCAAAGCAAGCCAAAGCCATCTAAGTGCTGGAAACAAGGCACCAAATCCTACTTGGAGCGTCAGGGGTCTTAGTAAGTATACTTATAACTCTTAAGAGCCGTATGATGCCCGCCAAGTTTGCCCTGCTATCAACCTTTTTACTAAGTCCCTCCGCCCTCCCAGTGTCCTCCACGCCTTCCCGAGATCCAAACCTCAGGCACCTTTTTCAACTGAGGTTCCTCTAATACCGTTGGGGGCCCTGCGGATCAAAGGAGATCATGGGGGATTTGAAGGGTTTAGGGATTTGAGGGAGCATATGAGCCATAGTCGGAACTCCTTAAAGGGGTTGTATAGGGGATTACATAGGGGACTACTATGTAGGGGTTTGTTGAAGGGGATACTAGGAAGTTAGACTAGAGCTCATATGAGGGATTACAGGGGAGTACGTCCCTTCTCAGATGCTGTCAAATCCGTTTCGCACACCGTGCGCTGCTCTTCGTGAAGGTACCTGTGAGCTCCAGTCATGGAGTAGGAGATCCATACCACAATTCACACCCCCAAATCCTATTAGGCCCTAATCCCTAAACCCCCAAACCCCAATCCCTAAAAAACCCTAAACCCTAAACCGTAAACCCCAAGCCCTAATCCTTTAGGGTTTAGGGATTAGGGTGAGGGTCTAGGATCCTGTCGGGTTGAGGATTTAGGGTCCTAATGATAGAGCCCCAAGAGTTGGAGCAAGAGCCACTGCTTGCAACCCTTCACCCCGTATATGAGCTATAGTCTCAACTCCCAGCATCCCCCTCAGTAACCCTGATAGTATAGGGTTTAGGGTCTAAACTCCCAGTATCCCCCATAGTAGCCCTGATAGTATAGGGTTTAGGGTTTGGGGCTTAGGGTCTAAACTCCCAGCGTCCCCCTTAGTAACCCCTACAATACTCACCTACAGACACCCCTTTAAAGAGATTAGACTGTAGTTTATATGTTCGGGTCAGACCTATCCTCTGAACGCTAGTGTTCAATAATCCAAACCATGGGGCTTCAAAAACCAGATGCTAACGTCTGAATGGGTTTTGGTATCTGAAGCCCCAATATTTGGGTGCCCCGGACTCTAGGGCTAATGAGAAAACCCACAAAGTTCAAACCCTAAACCACCCTAACAAAAAAAAACACCCTAAAGCCTAAGCCGAGGTTATCACAGTTGAAGCCGAATCGTTCTTGCAAGGCGTCATTAGGGATCCGCCAGGACCTCAAGCACCTAGAATGTTCCCAAATGGTCCATGTGGTCATATATATGTATACACACATGTACATGTACATGTATTTTCTAGTATGTGTGTGTACACACACACACATATATATATACATATACAAGCATGCATGAATACTCGCCTGTATATGTGACCCCAAAGTACTTGCATAAACGGTAACCTTTGTGGGCCCTACGTATGCGCCCACAAGAACGCTTGGAGGTTGGTCTTGAACTGTACAGTTCATGGGCAATTCAGTTACTATAATGATGAAGCCCGATTATATAGGGTTTAGGGTTACTACAATAATGAAGCCCTATCATTCACCATATACCCTTATTGTGGTAGTTTAGATTCCGTTCACATCCAGCATGACCTACGGTATACCCAAGGGCTTCTATGGAGTTGCTTTTAGGTTTGTGATGTATGTTTGGTAGGGGGTTGTAAAATGCTACCCAAAAGGAACTAGGAGGGTCTGGGTCAGATGCTAACACCCTAAGCCTTAAGTCCTAAACCCCAAACCTAAACTACGATAGTTCCCATAGTTCCTCTGGTCTAGGAATATCATAGGACTTCAGGGCTAGGCAGGTTTTCGTTCATCAACAGTATGACTTTGGGGCGGAATAGTGCAGATGAAGGATATGCACGGTTTAGGGTTTCATGCGGGAGAGATCAGCTTGCTTTGGGGTTCAGTGGTGAGGTTTCGGATGCCCAGGATTTGGGGGTACTGGGTCAGGGGGTCCATCTAGTAGAATATATTCGTAGGGCTCAGAGAGGTGGAATTTTGCGGCCACCCCCCCCCCTCCCACCCAAAGGCGTCTTTATGTGGTGTTTGTTATAGCTCCTTGTGGTGACAACCCCTGAAGCATTATGCTGTCAGGAGATCGAAGCTTCGACTTAAGATCTAGGATCTGGAGTTTCCCAGCTCGAGGTCTCTAAGTTTATAAGTAATCAACACGGATTTCAGGCTTCAAAGTCTTCAAGCGGTACCTACTGTCGGCTCGTTGGTCATGCCACTACTGGGGCCTTGGATCTGCCTTCCCGGAAGGCGCTGCATGTTTTCGAGCTTATCAGCCACACGTTTAGGGTTTATAGTCTTCCTTAAGTAGCTGGAATACGCTTTGAGTATATAATAATACTATCCTCATATACCCCATACTCTATCTACTTAAGGGGGATTATAGTGCATGGATTAACATGTGAAGCCTTCAGCCTTGTTGGCTTTGGATCCCAAACCGACAATGAAGAAGTTGTGTAGTACTTGGATGTTCCTCGGACCATAAAAGCCCTAAACAACCAACCAGAATGTGGAAAGGACCATTCCGAGGGCACAACGGCATGAACAATATTTATTTGCCGGAAATCATCGAAGCGCATAGGTCTCCTTGTGCATCCGCTTGGATAAGGATAAGCTCAAGGTAACCCTAAACCCTAAGCCCTATATAGCCCACTTTGTCAAGACAGGTAGGCCCCAAGGGATCCAGGGGATATGGGGTTTAGGGTTTAGGGATGATGGGGGCTTTTAGGGATGATATAGGGGTTGGCACTTGAGAAAGCCCCATAGGGTAACGTCCTATACTATACAGCCCCTCACAACCAATTACTCGTGACCAGATGATCACAAATAACCTTACGCCCTAAACCCCCCCAAAAAAAACTTAAACCTAAGGCCTGGTGGACCTCCTCCCTGTAATCTTGCTAAAGTAGGAATATAAGAAGACCCTGCTGTAGTTACCATTTATATTTGAGCCTACGCCCTAGCAAGAGCTCTAATTACTACTGCCTGTCGCTGCAGGAGTCGTATGCGCAATGCAGGGGCTTTTAATTGTAGGGTTTAGGGGCTTTAGGGTCCTAAACCCTAAACCCTAAACCTTGATTAGGGTTGAGAGGTTAGGTTTTAGGGCCTAAGGTTTAAAGTTGAGAATTATTCGTTTTTTTGTCTGAGAACTTGGCACAACTATAATATAGGGTGCCTCAAATAGACGTCAAACTGATGTTGCTAATTATTTAGGCTTTAAACCTTAAACCCTAAACCCTAAGCCTCATTAGTGCCAGAGTTTCAGGACCATAGATCTGCTATCCTCTCAAGCCCCTACTCCACTCCGCTTTAGGAGGACCCCCCCCCACCCTGTAATAGAGACTATAAAGGACAATAAGGATCATATGGGTGGTTGTCAAAATTATGGTCCTTTTTGGATCCCTATGATAATACGGCATCCTATATTTAGGGCACCCAAAAGGCATAATAATTTTGATAACCACCCATATTAGGGTCCTTTGATAGTCCTAGTATACTACTATTATAGGGTGAAGGGTCCTCCTAAACTCTCAGGATTAAAAGCTTCCAGCTCTAAAAGGGTCCTTTGGACTATTGTCCCTTTGCTGTCCGGAAGCTAAGGCCGATGCTTGAACTTAAGCTTTAAATGCGGAATTGCAAAGCACAAGCCCTAAATCCAATTGCTCAACCGTAAATCTCAAACCCGAAGACTCAGAACCTAAATACCCTAAACCCTAAACCTTAAACAGACTCAGAACCTAAATATCAAACTCTCACCCAAACCTCAGACCCCACCTCCTGAGCTCTAAGCCCTACAAACATATATGTGTGGGTTTAGGGTTTAGGGTTTAGGGTGTATATGCTACCCCCTCCAAGACCCCACAATGAGTAGTCAAATAGTAGTATGGAGGTAACTGAGTGGGGTCTTGGGGTGGCCGGGGGGGTCCATATTTTATATATGGGTGGTTGTCAAAATTATTGTCCTTTTTTGGGTACCCTAAATATTAGGGGCCATATTATAATAGGGACCCAAAAAGGGACCATCATTTTGACAACCACCCATATATATATATATATGTATGATATTCCCATACTCCCCAAACCTTTGAGTCGTAAACGTGGGCTTCCCTCAGGGCCGAGCGCCTGGATGTACAGCAGCGCCTGGCTTGCTTATACTGTTTCTTACCTGGGGTCTAGTAGGGATTATAGGAATGCAGAATAAGATATTATACAATATAATATAATATGTAGGGTTTAGGGTTTATAGTGCTCTAGGCCTTAGGATTCGGATTGTTGCGCTTAGCATTCATGAGTCAAGGGTTTAGGATGTATACAGGGTGTAACACTAATTGGTTGGGGTTAGGGTTTTAGGCTTTTGGGGTATAGGGATCTAAGGTTTGGGGGCTTAGGGTTTAGGGTTCGGCTTCAGCGATGAGATTCAGGGTTTAGGGTTCAGGGCTTGGGGTTTAGGAGTTGAGGTTCAGAGTTAGGGTTTGGGGGTTACGGAAGCACAGCCATGCTCCATGTCACGAAATTCTGTGCGACCGGAAGCTTCGTACACCTTGCAAATTGCGGCATCCTAACGTCATACAGGGTTGTAGCTTCAACGGAATCACGTGGTTGCGAGCATGCTGGAGCAGTACATGGATGGACCTTTCTTGGAGCCATACTCCTAGGATCCAAGCGCATCCTGCGCCTTCAAATGTGTCAGGGTTTCGGGCTCATAGGGCTAAGTAAAGTTCACGGTGCCTAAGCCTAACCTAGCCTCCCTGATGTGGCCATGCCTGTCTTCTGCGTGCTTAGAACGGCCCCTGTTTGGAATTTGAGAGAGCAGCAGTATGGACCTACTCTGGAAACCATAAACCTTGAACCCGAAATCCTGAACCCGAAGCACGAAACCCTCAACCCTAAACCCTGGACCCTCAACCCCAAACCCCAAACCAAACCCTAAACCCCCATTGCTTAACCCAGAACCACAAACCCGACCTAGGGCCCTCCTTTGGATTACCATCTCCCCAATATTGAAGTTCCCCCGCCTTCCTAACATTCGATATTCCCCATTATGGTGTATTTTGTAATATATGCGAAAACGTTTGGCTCGGGGCGAGAGTTCGCACGCTGCGTTTTGGCAGGTTTAGAAAGGTATTCTGTAGCATATATATATATATACATACATCGTTAGCAGCATGCGGATTCTGGCCGCCGACGTCGTGTGAATACCATAGGTCACCTGATATCCCAGATTCCCAGATGTGAGGAGTGGGGTGTTTTCCTACTAGTGAAGGGGGATTGAATTCACACTGACCTACACGCAACCCCACAGAACCCACACAGAATTCCATTAACCCGCCAGGGTTTAGGGTTTAGGGTTTAGTCATAGGGTTTAGGGTTAGAATTCCTAGGTGACACCTATCAACCCCAAACACTCTCCACATACACTGCGCCAACAAAAACAACATGGAAGCGCAGCAAGGGCTCTACAAACACTTCTGTCCTTTGAAGAGGGCACCATATGAGCTATAGTCTAAAATCCTAGTATCCCCCATAATAAGTCCTAGAGTAGTCCCCTATATAACCCCCTATATAACCTTCTGTAAGGAGTTTACACTATAGCTCATATCAGCTTCCATAAGGGGAGGGTAGCCAGGGCAAAATAGCTGAGCCAGGGCTTGCAAAAATCACGCCTTCTTTAGTGGCATCGACTTTGCGCTGGGGCCTCAGCTCTATTTCCGGGTTATATGCCCAATTTAAGGCCGAAGTATACACCATATAGCTACCTGGGCCGTTTGGGCGTGCATACCAAAACCTCTTCCTGTCGGCCCCTGCCCAAAGGTCGACGGTTTGGCTTTCGGGCTTCGCCTAAAACTTTGCGCAATGTCCTGCTAACGGTGCACCAACACAAAAGGATTGCGGTTCAGCTTTGCGGGTTATTTCTGAAACCAAGGGTATTCCTGCGACTGTTCGTAGATTTAGAGATCTGCCATAGACTGCGAACTTACTTCCGTTACTTGCCACTTGAGGTGGGATGGAGGCAGATCTCCCCAAAGTGAGCTCAGATATAGTCCCCCTTAAGTAGATAGAATATGGCTTTGGGTATATTACAATTAGATCCCCATATACCCCATATTCTATCTACGTAAGGGGGGCTATAACCCCTAAACCCTAGACCCCATATTCTACCTACTTAAGGGGGACTATAGGTCCATCCTACAAGCTGCTCCTTTACTTGGAACGTCAATGGACGTGCTATACATTAACCCCTATGAGCCATATCATTACCCCAAATCTAATTCGCCTCAGTTATTAGACTACTGACCTAACTCGCGAAGTGCCGCAGCACAGTCCGCACAATTTGGGGTGCGCTGCATTCAAAGCTTTCTAAGTGGGACCTGAAATGCGGACTCAAGAAACAAATATAGAGACCCTCTCTATATACATATATACGTATATTTACACTTTAGGGTTTTGGATATTACTCTTTATGCAATTATGAAGGGCTTAGGGTCTGGAGTTTTGTAACACCCAAGTTTAAGGAGGCCTTAATTAATATGACCCCCCCAATATAGAGTGTTCATGGGTGGGGGCAGGACCCAACCTACAGTCATTGCAGCACGGACCTTAATTGAATCGTCATCCGTCCTGACTTGCTTAACCCCGCCGGATACCGGAGAATTCATTAGATAATTTTCGTGGTGCTGCCACCAGCCTATGAAGTTTCACCAATACTGCAGCTGCAATGCACCTACGAACGAATGAAGCAGTATTAACCTTCATAGATGCATCTGGTCCAATGGGCTCAGGAAACCACGCCCACTTCTTCTGCATTTTTTAGCCCCATACGTTGATGAAGAGCAAGTCGATGCATTCAGACTTTGGGGCTTTTTTCATGAGGAACCTGGCTGTCAAGCCAAAGTCAAAGCAAAAGCGTTTCTGTTTCATGTAAGAATCTACCAACAGCCTTCATCGGATAGTAGCGGTTTGTGCATGGCCCAAGAACATCCGACTCCCTTGAATAACGTCTTGGATTTCCTGTGTTTGAAAGAATGCACCTTAGCCCTGACCCCCAAACCCCAGACTCTTGCAAAGACCTAAGCTCTCGGCGTCTCCATCTGAGCCCGAACATGTATCAAAATCAAGCTATAGTTAGACCTTAACACGCTTTGGCGTTGGCTGAGTTGAGAGTTTAGCGCTTTGAGGTTTGGGTCAAGGGCTTTTGCCAGAAGATTCCATCTGCCCCTTGCAATGCTAAGCGCGGTAGAGACGAGCTCTGATTCGTGCAGACCGAGAAGCACAGGAGCTCCTCACAGAAAGCTGAATGGTCCCAAACCCCATGCCATCACTCATTGCGCATTTCTGTTTTCATGTGTCCGTAAACACAATCACAACACCTTTCAAAACCGTTTTATGTAACTGTATTACCCGACTTCTATCTTAAGAATTGTGTGTGCTGGCTAGCTTTCACCTGCTCAATTCTAGATGCGCCCTGGACTTACTGGTGTGAGACGGGGATGCTGGAACGGATCCCAATACCAGCACGTGTATCTTCTCCAAAAGTATAGCATGTCAATCTTCTTTTCCATTCCCTAAACCCCGAAACCCTATGGAAGTGTACTTTGCGTCCATTCCGAAAACAAAACCAAAAAAAACACCTGGGCCGTGAATCCTAAACCCAATACCATTACCAATTTTCAGGTTCTGACAACCGGTAAATAAACCCTGAACGGATATAACCCCCCTGATTTGCTTTATTCATTTGATTGGCCATTTCAAGCTTCCGACCCTGAAACGCCCAGGCGTCTCCACCTAATGGAACCTCCCTTCAAGCCGGATCTCTCCGGTTGGCAGCTCAGTCTGGGCAAATATAGCCGAAACTCCTTAAAGGGGATTATATAGGGGATTAGATAGGGGACTATTACAGGGACTTTTAAGGGGGATACTAAGAGTTTGGACTACAGCTCCTAGGGTTAGGATAATTTTCAGGGTTGCACAATTGAGGTTCAGGAGTTGCAGCGCTTTGGAGTTTGGATTCTAGTAAAATATCGGGCATAATGGAAATAAAAGTGGAGACTACTATAGTATACAGGGTTCTATAGCGAAAATATGGGGATACTGGAAAAGGGAACTACTATAATGGGGGTTTGGGGCGGATAAAGGGATTGGAGGGTCAATTCGGCTGCGGACATTGCCGGCGCATCGGGTTTTAACCTCAATCCTCCAATGTAATGCTTCCTCTTAGGGTCCTATCAAGAAGCCTAAGTACTTCCCTAGATCCTTAACCCTAAATACAAAACAATAACAAAGGCCAAGGAGACTGCATTAGATGGTCCGAGGTAGGGATGCTCGCGACAGATCCATAGTTTTTCCAAGCACGGGGATTGCGCTCGTAAAGAACCTTTCTAGAAGATCCCTGCTTTCCTTGGGCAAGTCCGAAGACGCTGCTAAGCATCTACAAGAAAATCACAAAACAACCTGAACCTCAACCCTAAACTGAGAGGTTAAGGTTTAGTGCTTTCAAGGTTTAGGGTTCACGGTTCAGTGTAAGTTTGCACAAGTTTACGGTCTTGGCAAGAATCTGGAGTCTCATTTTACTTTACTTTTGTTATGTAATACTTTAGTTTAGTAGTCGTTTGGTCATTCCAACGATGTAGCTATAATTGTTTGGCTAATTACTCCCCTCAAAACTCTCCACCCTAATCTCAGTTACCACTAGGTTTCACACTTGAGGTCCCTAAATGCTGGGGTGTAAGAAGATGGTGGATAATGATGATTTAGATGTTCGGGTTTTTTGGGGGTTTTGGCACCTTGGACCTCTAAACCTAACTGAGCTATAGTCTAAACTCCTTAAAGGGGGTTTATGTAGGGGATTATATAAGGGACTACAAAAGGGGTAATAAAGGGGGATACTAGG